CGCGCAACATATTGCACAGCTGTAGAGAATTGAATAACGGATCGTTTGATGTAAAATCAGGTGTACCTTATATGGTCGCTGACCTACGGCAGGTCGAAGTCCGGCCATGGCTGTCAGCGACGGTCATTTCTAGGGAATCGTTCAATGCGATGCGACAACGGAGTATCGGACGAAGCCATACATATATGAGATAGCTTCTTAGGCAATAAACCAATACAAGCTAGAATTACAACTAACCTCACTCACCTAGGACCAGGTAGGAAGGTCAGAACGCGGTCAAAACTAACCTGCCTCAAGAGCTTAGCTTTATGAGGTTAGTTTCTGGTGTATATTTCGATTTTTTTAATGACAGGGAACGCAACAGTCATGTCCCATGGACTTGCTAAGTGTGAGAATACGTCACTCACCTAAAATGACCCAGGTCAACATTTTTGGGGAACGTGGCGCTTAGCATTATCCCTGACGCCTATAACAATGACAAATTGGAGTGATATCGTAGGTATTTGTTTAATTTGACCTTATAAAGGTTAAACAAGGTCAATGAGCTCAATGGCCTTTTGCTTAGAACGGGTATCTACTTTCGCGGCGGCCCGCATAGGGAGTTTTGGGGGACTTACGACACCAATCTCGAGTTTGACCTTGTTTGACCTTTTTGACCATACGGTCTACCTAGAAACCTGAAATTTTGACACAAGTGAACTCTCACGTACAGGTACCCTATGAATTTGGTGTCTCTAGCTATGTTGGTTTTTGAGATCTCAGGGCGGAGGTGAACTGATTCCCACCCGAGCCAAGGGCATTCAGCCAGCCACCCCGGCGTGTGTCTAAACGCCAATCTGGATTTCTCGCCATAATTAAGTGCAAAACTAAGATTGTTTCACTCTTATCTCCGCATGTTGACAACAATCGCGTGACCAACTATTTGATGAGGTATGTTTTGCGCCTACCATCACTTTGCAATGCACTCCGAAACGGTTGGCACTAGTTATACGGAGGTTTTGGCGCTCCTCCAAGTGTTCAAAACACGATGCGTAATCGTATCAGAGCTCGAAGCGTCTAAGCTTAGGTCGAAAGAACGTCATAATGGTGAATGACAAATTCTGGCCTTTTGTGTCATCCCAGCGTGCTTGCTCGGCGAGTGGTAGAGGTGTCGAGGTGCATGCTTTTAAACCCCTAAATCTGGCTTGCTCCAGTATGCATCATCATGTCCACCAAATAGTGATTACATATAGTCTGATAGCTTGCGCGACTGCGGTGTGGACTGTAAAAAAACTCGGCACTACCTACTTCTCATTATCATATCTTACTGACATAATAATGGTACTCTTACGATATAGGTATATATATATATATATATATATATATATATATATATATATATATATATATATGTGTGGTTTCTACAATTTAATACGAGCACAACAAATATCTGCAGGTCAAAAGGTCACCTAAAAAAGCACGCGACGGAACATCTTTAAAGCTCTTAATGGGAAAAATTAACAACTTAATAACTTGCGGGGGATGTGTGGATTCCATGACATTCAGTGAGGGCTTATTTTGATGAATATGAAGCGGTTTCTGACATCATAAGACTGCGGGACAAACGCTAGCTAGCTAGAGGCTTGCCTGTTAAGTTTAATATCTGTCTGTTTCATCTGACTCCGCTTCGCCAGCGATCAAAGTCCTTGATTCACGAATGCGTCCAAACCGGTCTTCTGTTCATTTGTCCCATATCCTGTCCCACACAGGCCCAGAGGGTTAAACATGCAGGCTGCCGTGCTGTCGTGCTATGGAGCGAAGCGGGTGGCATTCAGTCAAGTTCGGAGCATGTGGCATATTGCCCACGTACTCGTGCCAAAACCGAATTTAATGAGCACGAATTACGTTGATTTGTGGCTCAATATTATGAGCTGCGGCGAATTATTTGTACAGCCGCGCCGCCTCTCCACAATGTCTTGATAGAAGCCCGCATCTTTTAAATATATGTTAGCTTCATTTGTGGTTTCATGTAGCATGCTTAAACTTTTTCAATCATTTCTGCAGCCTCATGCACGTCTTCCAAATGGGCTAAGATCACAGCAGGGCCGGCGCCGATGTCGCCGCCCGTCAACCACTTATCTCATGTAAATGACATCGAATGGCTCATGTATGGCGGGAGCAGACACCCTTGGGACCTCGTGACCTTAGCATGCATCGTATTAGTCGCCTCGCCTTCTCCCCCAGACAGGCTCCGTCCATCGTATTAGTCGCCTCGCCTTCTCACCCAGACAGGCTCCGTCCATCGTATAAGTCGCCTCGCCTTCTCACCCAGACAGGCTCCGTCCATCGTATTAGTCGCCTCGCCTTCTCCCCCAGACAAGCTCCGTGCATCGCATTAGTCGCCTCGCCTTCTCACCCAGACAGGCTCCGTCCATCGTATTAGTCGCCTCGCCTTCTCCCCCAGACACGCTCCGTCCATCGTATAAGTCGCCTCGCCTTCTCACCCAGACAGGCTCCGTCCATCGTATTAGTTCGCCTCGCCTTCTCACCCAGACAGGCTCCGTCAATCGTATTAGTCGCCTCGCCTTCTCACCCAGACAGGCTCCGTCAATCGTATTAGTCGCCTCGCCTTCTCACCCAGACAGGCTCCGTCCATCGAAGGGCACGTCACTACACGTGCAATAGCTTCTTAGTGGTAGAAATGCGAACCCGCACAAAAATACGTGCACTCACTTGAGCCGCTTTTTGGAAGACTGCTGTGCAGGATGTGCGGCCGTTTTTCTCCCCGGCTGAGGGAGAGGTGGCCTCAGGTTCTGGTTCTGCCATGTGCACGTCACAACCCTGAAACAGCAATGGTCGTAAATATGCCACAGTTGAGGCGAAGGGCCTCCCATTTAGCCAGGCACACATGTGGCGAAGCACTGCACGCCACGATGACAGTGATAGGCCAGTGTAGAAGCAATGTAGACATGTATACAGAAAATAGCTTAACACAAACAGTCATTTTCCGTCGTTTTGAAGACAATGGCGATTCTGAATTAAGACTGGACAAAAAACCGCAGGTATTCTGACCAAGTTTTCTACATCTGTATGACTTCACCATATAAAGATGAACATGGTCAGGAATTTGCATCTTTGTCGTTTTCAAAATTTGCTTCTTCAAATATTGCTAAGCCTACGAGCACTCAGAAGCTTCGCCTTTCAGCAAACGGCCCCAAAGCAGCCGCACGCCATATCGCTGACATGACTACTGCAGTTCAATCCGGCGCACAAAACGCGGACAATCTCCGCGCTCATCACTTTCCGAGAGGCCGCGCTCTCTCCTCACCGGCAGCGAGGCGCGGAGTCTTTTCGTTCCCTTTGTCTCAAAATCCTCCAGGTCGGTCATCGCCCCAGCCTGCAACATCAAACAGCGATGCGTCGCTCGCCCGCGGAGCCGGGCTCTGATTCGGTCCGAGCCGACAAACACGCGCCGGTCGTGTCATCAGTGGCTCGGCTCGGAGCCGCGCCGAGCCGGCAGCGCCGCTCGGCCTCATTATTCCGCCGCGGGCCAAACAGCCGCCGGCGTCCGCGGCAGCCACTCCGCCGATTGCACGCTGAGGCCGACGGTAAACACCCGACGGCGGCGGCGGCGACGCGCCGTCGCCATGGCGACGGCCGGGCGCGTCACCGCCAGCGGCAATCGGTGCGCCGGCGGCGTCGGCGGCGGCGCCCGGCGCGCTCCTGCCGCTCGCCGCCTCCCCAGGCGCGCGGTCGGCCGTCTGGCGGTGGCTGTGGGCCTGCCCGTTCCTCTCCCCTCCCCTCCCCGGCGGCGGCGCTGGCTCGCCTTTATCCGGGCGGCCCGCAGCGGGGCGGGGGAGGCGCCCGAGCCGGCTAATTCCGCCATCAAAGCGCGCACGACGGACCGGGTGGCACTCTGAGCCGCGTCTGCCGCCGCCGCCGGCGCCGCATCGGAAACCGATACCGGCCGCCGGCGGTCGGAGCCGCCGCTCGAGGAGCGGCGAGCCGCCGCCGGCCGGTCAGAGGGCCGCTGCTGGCGGATCAGACGTGACGCCAGCGCCTGCCGCTGGAGGCGGCTCTGATTGTCCCGGCACAACGCGGTCCGCAGCCTTCGAACCCGTCGGATGGGGCGAGACAGGGAACAAAGTAGCGCAGAACCGTCCAGTGTATGGTGGTGCAAGCGCCCAATATCACTAAATGTATGCTGTAAATACGTGGGATTAGACGCTAAGGCATGACACTTTGTAACGTGAATATATTTTAATATATTAAGTATTTAATTCCTATTCATGACACGGCTTTCACAGCGGAAGGCATCAGCTACTGTTCACCAAAAACAAAATAACATGAGATACAGTGCGGTTTAAAACACGTCTAATGGAACGTGCCTTTGCCCGGATGTGCACATCCCCCTCGCCATACACCCAGCCCCTCTCCAATGTATAATACAAAGCGATGTCTGCATAAGCAGATGTCGAGCACGAAAAATTTGAGGTCCACATAACAATGCAAATATCAAGAACATGCTGCGTTGTATTACACCATCGAAACTGTTGAACGCCATCTTGCATTTGAGCCTACACATTGTGAAATACTGCATACACCTCCACCCATAAAAAGGTGCTGCTGACTGCAGTAAAACTGTGCGGCCTAAGACTGCAGTAAAACTGTGCGGCCTAAGTCCCTTTCCAAGTAACTGCGCTGCATGATAGCACCAAGGTGCAGTTGAGAAACTAGCAGACGCATGTCAAAAAGCATGACAGCCAATATTCGCTCAGCTTCTGCGCCGCACTGAGCGTACATTCTGCTGTATGGATACAATGTACTGGACAAAGTGTGTTGATATGGCGACTCGCGTGCCTCGCTCCATTCGCAGGTTCCACAGGTGCAAGCCCCGAACAACGCAGATGAGGGGCATCACTTAACCAAGCGTGAGCCTCTGGTCCGTAGGTGCTAAAGCACGTGCACGCACCGGCCCAGCTCGCCAGCGTGGCCGTCACGCGGCGTCCGTACGCCCTGCCCTACACACCTGCGGAGCTCCAGTCAGCCGGGGCCGGGGCCGGGGCCGGAGGAGGAGCCGGAGCCGGAGCCGGTGACCGGACGGCCGCGGGCGGAGCCGGCTCCGGAGGCAGCTCGGTCAGTGGCCGGGCCGAGTCGGGCACCAGCACGCCCAGCCGCTGCTGCTCCAGCCGCTGCTGCTGGGCTGCCGCGCCGACACAGGCGGCGTCAGCAGGCGGCCGGCCAGGGCGCACACGCCGCCCGGGGTGTAGTGCTCCAGATGCACCCCAGGCGCCAGAGGTGGACGGCTAACGCATGGACATGATGCATTGATGCTAACCAGAAAACGACCTTTTGTTTGAAGCCATTTGATTGCGCAGTGGTTTGCAAGACTAGCCACTGGATTCAAGGAAGTTGTTGCTGCAGCGGGACGTTGAACAAGAATATATAGAAAAATAGAATATGTAGTGCAAGTCAAGCAAGCATGAACGCATTTCTTAATGCTTGGCAGAAGATGTAGTGCAAGTCAAGCAAGCATGAACGCATTTCTTCGTTCTCGGCAGGCTGTCATTTCAATGATAAGACATGATATAAGTATCAGAACATGCATTAAAATTGTTAAAATCCACCAACCCCAACATCGAAGCATTACGTCAGTCCACACACCATAAATCTGCTAAACAAGACACGACATGTGAGGATGAGACGAAACTGAGAACATACGGCCGATCAACTCACTCCGTTCTTCGATGTCAATTTTTCTGTTGTGCTCGTCCACCCTCGCTGGAAAAAGAAAACGTATCAGAACCGATCAAAAGGCTCAATCTGCCGACACGTGCTTATTACGGACAGAATCTCCAGGCAGGAGTCCAGTGGCATGCCAAAAGGACGTTGTTATGCTCAAAACATCCCGATGCAGCATGCGCAAACGCAGAACAAAGCATCAGTGCCTATCGTTGCGCGGCGTGATAAGCAAACGAATGTGTCTCCGAGGTGCATGACTTCAGGTAGCATATAAACTACAAAACTGGTCAGTTCAGCTTGAGACAGAAATTTCCTGACCCATGTGACGTGTTTGGCATAAAAATCCGTCTAACGGGTGGGCAGGGGCTGCGCAGCGGGAGTGCCAGCTCGGTACCACGTGCTCGCCTACCACACCGACTATGAGAGTTCCGGTGATAACTTCGGTGTTTATGTACCTTGAAGGGTGCGGATTTGATTACAGCAGACCAGAAAAAAAGCACAGAAGCTTAAAAATCAAGCGAGCCACAAAATTTCATAATTTTCAAGCCATCATTCGAAGAGTGCAATCTTAGTTGACTGTGACGTGACAGAGGCAAGGGAATGCACTAAAAAAATGGTGAGACAAACAATTTTAAGTAAAGTATTTCCATTAATCGCTACTGGAGCGGCATGTTCCATAGAAATTGGGCATAGCTCTGCTCCCCGGTCTCTTACCCCACCGTCACAATGTGCCTCCACACGTCTTTAAGACTGTGTTTGCGTTTAGCTCAATTGGCTATAACAGTAACTCTTTCTTCCACGAACGCCAGGCGCGCTGATGAAACTCACCACTGCATTCAAACAAGAAAAACAGGACGACGCCAAAGGAAAATATGGGCAGAGCGCACGGAACCAAGCCAGCAAACATGGCACAAACCGGCACGACTCATATGAACCAAGCAGGGCAGAACGGGCAGACGTCGGCCCGAGGCAGGGGCGATTCCAGGGTTTGCGACGGGGAGGGTCGCCTGAATTTGTGACGGGGGCTGCTTTTTAGCGAATGCATGCCTTTTTACAAGGTATGTAAATGTGGCATTCGTGCATACGGAATACATTGCACGCATTTTGTTTGCATTGCGAACAAACTATACTTGAGCTAATGGGTACAGAAGACAACATATCAATGTGCCATCGATGTCGGTTTGCTTTGGCGCGCCAAAAACTTTCCCAGCTGCGTACAGTACATACGCAGCCGGCTGTCTACCGATTTGATTTCTGGATTACTGCTCTTGGGCACATGTCAGCCCATGAAAGTCACCGAGATCAAAAACCTAAAAAGCTTCCTGATCACTAGATCTCGGAATTACTTCCATAGATTCATGGTAAAAAGCCACGCTCCCTCCTGAGAGGGGGTGGGACATGAGTCCACGATCCCCGCCCCCTTAGCTGGAGCACTGGACGACTGGCCGGGGGAGACGGGACCCATGTCGGCGGGGCGGCGTGGTGCGCCAAGCCGGCCGGCACAGCGCACCACGCTGGGGAGGAGGCCGACGCGGCGTCCCAGCCGTTCACGGCTGCTGGCTCCATTGAGCCGGCGGAGCGGCGACCCGCCGGCCCCGTAATGGCAGGCGACAGGGGGGCGGCCGGCGCCAGTGGTCCGTGCCGAGCAGGGCAGGCCGGGGCGCCTTCGGCCGGACGCCGGAGCCGGCAACAGAGCGTCACAGACACTTCACATGCGGTGAGGTCGTGCTGAGCGTCCCCAGTGGTTCACAGTTTTACGTCAGGCCCGGCATGAGGCACGCAAGATTAAATCACTGAATGCAACACCACCGTTTTCAGCCATCTGATAATCCTCTGGAAACAACGGAACTGCACGGATCACCGCCAGCAAGCACGGATCACCACCTGTCCAGACCAACAGCCAGCCTGGTGAGGTGGAGAGCACCAGAACGGGAGGGCGGCGAGGCCACGGTCTACGTGTGCTGGCGGCCGGACAGCGACCGTCACCAGCCGTCACGAGCTCTAAGGCGCCGCAGCCCGTCACCCGTGTCCCAGGGATGTCGGCCAGGCCGGCTGTGTCGGGTTTGGCGACAGTCTGGCGCCTGCCCACCAGCGGGCGGCGTTCAGCGACGGACCTCCGGGGCCGGCGCGCCGCTGCGGTCCGCGCCGACCGCGCTGCCCGCCCGCCCGCAGCCTCTCGGTATAAGTGGCTGGACGTATATGGGCCGGCGGCGGAACATAAGCCGGGATGAAAGGGCCGCCGCGTCCCGCCCCGGACGCGGCGGGCCGTCCCGTTCCGAGCCGTCCCGGCCGCCAGCGCCGCCCCGGTCGGGCCCGGCCCCGCGCGCGCCTCTTGCCGAGGCGTGACGGCCGACGCCAAGCGCCTCCCCGGCGACGCCATCGCCGTTGCCATGGAGACCCGCAAGCACGCCGCATTTGTTTATGTCTGTGCGGTTTGCTGTTGATTGCAGCGACGAGCGTGTGGTTTATAACGGACGCCGACCAGGCAGCAACCCTTAAGAGGTCGAGATGAAGAGTCGGGCGCCCGCTGCAGACAAGCAAATGCAGTGGCGTCAGCTACTGGGCTTCTGTGTTCAAATGTTTTCGCCCGCCGCGGGCGGTACTCAGAAATCGAGTGCACGTTTGTTTTGCTCATACCTACGCCTAGCAACGAAAGTAAATGTCACCGCTGTGCAGCAAACCTGTCTTTACAGCGACCAGTTTCTTCTGGCATATTGCAGGTCATTTATATGCATTTGTTGCTGCTGTCACCAAGCCACATTTTCATTTCCGTTGCACGTAACACATACGCGCTTAAACAAAAATATGTTATTAAAACTCCAGTTTTGGCAAGCTAGATCAGCATGCACCATGCTCATAGCTTACTATGGATCACCAAATTCATCGCAGGTAGCCATAACTCTCCAGGCTTTCCACACTAAACTTCCCTGATCTAGAGAATGGTCATTCACCAATACACTTGCACTTGCTAGAAAATTGCGTATGCGCGTTGAACGAATCCTAAAAAAAAAACATCGCACTACAGAGGTACGCAAATCTACTCCAGCCCCTGGGAAACTTGAATGCATGGTGAGTTTTGTTCCTGTTGCATCCGTGCTTTATACATTGATCATCAATTCACTCCCAACAGAGCAATGCAGTCTCCGCTGTTCTTTTTTTGCCATAAAACCGGTCCAGTTTCACATAAATCGGTCTGCAAGCCTCCACTTCCTCAGATTTACCGGCCCCCTCGCCACCTTGTGGCTGACACTTGGGGATTTGTCCCATGAACCGCGCTTGTCTAAACCGTCCGGGGTAGTCCGCTAACGATTCCCCAGAGGGGTCCCGCTAGTCCTCTGACGATTCCCCAGAGGGTCCCGCTAGTCCGCTGACGATTCCCCAGAGGGTCCCGCTAGTCCGCTGACGATTCCCCAGAGGGTCCCGCTAGTCCGCTGACGATTCCCCAGAGGGTCCCGCTAGTCCGCTGACGATTCCCCAGAGGGTCCCGCTAGTCCGCTAACGATTCCCCAGAGGGTCCCGCTAGTCCGCTGACGATTCCCCAGAGGGTCCCGCGCTAGTCCGCTGACGATTCCCCAGAGGGTCCCGCTAGTCCGCTGACGATTCCCCCAGAGGGTCCCCGCTAGTCCGCTGACGATTCCCCAGAGGGTCCCGCTAGTCCGCTAACGATTCCCCAGAGGGTCCCGCTAGCACGAGGCGGTCGTGCCAGAACTGTACGTGGGGCGCTTGGTCAATGTGAAAACAATTCACCACAACAGTAGCGCAGAGCTGAAATTACTGTCCTTTGTGGGGTCTGTATTTTCGCGACAGTGCTTACCATGGGTCTTGATCCATGGTATCCATGGATCCATCTCTGAAAACATCCAGTCAAATTATCGATTCTAAACCCGATTTGGAAGCTGACGTCTCGCTGCAATACATTTTCAGAACCTGAACTAAAAGGCTGTCTGGGTGCCGTTCATCAGCTGCTGGTGACCTTCGGGACACGAGACGACGGCGGCGATCCAATGACCTGTTTTTGCGTGCGACACATGAACGAAAACCTTTCAGTGATTAAAACCATGATACAACATCCTGGGAAACCGGCGTCACTTAAAAGGATCGCTTTCTATCAAAAGTATTCAATTCAGTTCCTTCAATGAACAAAGCTTACAATTCTGAGACATACATATTCTCCATCCATCATTCTCCATCCAATACATCCTACATCAGTTCCAAAAGACAAAGAACACAACTAATACAACTTCCCTCATCCTTTGCTCGGCTGACCTCAGCACATCATTACGCGCCTGGACATTTACCAACTGAAGCTACCAAAGCCGGATTTGTGTTCGACGTCGGCACCCAGAGCAGACCTAGCCTTGAAGCCAGTTGTACGGCGCAGGTAAACGTGCCGTCCGCGAGCGAGCTCAACACTGTCCGAGCCGCTGGTGCGCCCGTTACGGACTGGGAGGCAATCAATGCCATCTGTTCCGACACTCGCTTCATGTACAACACACAGTGGCCTAAACCGAGACCGACCAGGCCATGAAAACTATACAAGGCAGCCTGTCAGGACACAGGACAGCTTGCTGTGACTAATATACACTAAAAAACTGGCTTGTCCCGATACTTCCGTCACAATCACAAATAACTCAGTGCTCCACGCTCGTCAGCCTCATCGATCAAGATCGCAAGGCCAAACTGCACAACATTCCTGCATTATCACTTGTATGCATATACCTGTGCGGATGCTATATAGCAATGCACCTTCACTTCACTGCAAAACACATGAAAATTAAAATTATAATGCAATGATACGTCGCATCCGTATGGATTCCCAAAGGCCACGGGTTCCATTCGCTTACGTTTAGGTATCATCTGCTACGTGGTGGCAACCCTGTCTGATTTCATCTCACTCTTGGTACGCCAGAACAGGCATCTTTTGGTTTGTTTGGGCCCACGTTGACAGAGTCGAGACGAACCACGCAGGAGGCTCCTCTGGTGAAATAAAGCATCACCCACACCAGTCTAGATAACTGCCCTCAGCATTGCTGGATTCA